TATCAAACAAGAACCTCTGAGAACTCCCTGATTTCACTAGAAAATTGTCCAGCTTCCCAAACATTCCTGGCCTGTTCTGAAGTGCCATTTCCTCAAATGAGTGTGTCACATGACCTTACTCATATTGAGTCATACTTAATTGTCCCATTTAATTCTCATCAAGAAGAAAATTATAGGTTTTTTGGTGGTAAGGATTGTCTCCGTCAGCCTCAGCTGGCTGTCCTGCTTCTACGCTATTTTCCAGTATAACCTGTCTCTGCCTCCTCCCTGCCTGCAGCAGCACTTGGCCATGCTCTGTGGTCTTTGCAGGGAGCCACAATATGATGCTTACTTACAGGGGATGGCAGACCATGGGAAACCATCCTGCAGAAGAGCCTGGGGAGATGTGACCTGCATATTTTCTGCTGTTTGGGTGGTGAAGGGAGCTGCTGTGCTCCCTAGAAACAGAGGTTGCCTTTTCCAGAGTGATGAGACCTATTGGAGATGCTTAGGAGTGTCATTGACACATATACAAGAAAGTCTTACACTGTAGCCTAGATTTAAATGAAAGGCCGGGGTAATTGTGCCTTGTGAAGACTGACCTAGAACAGAGGCTAGATAGAGCTAAAGAATTAAGTAGATATTTATTAAAAGGCCTCGATGGATACACGTTGGGCAGCACAAGAGTCCAGCCAGAGCTACACCCAAGATGAACCCAAAATGGTCACAAAATGGACAACCGGTCATGGGGGGTTCTCATACTTTTATAAGTTCTGGTCCATTAGCGTATTGGAGCTAATTGTCCAGTTATAGCTTTAGCCCATGAAGTCCCATCCTTCTTGTTTTTCTCTCTTCATTCTGCTGTTGTTTATGCTCTATCTTTATGGATAATTTGTCCCATACCCCAGCTAGAGAAGGAATTGTTGTCTACCAACTCTGTGAAGAGAGCCTACTATACCCTAATATGAAGCTCAGAACTACACAATAAAGCAGCACATAATCTGAAAAATATAAAAGCTAAAACCTGAGGCATCAGTACTTTTTTTCCTTTTCTTTTTTTTTTTTTGCATTAGCACAGACCTCTCTGCTAGCTATTCTACACATAAAACAGCAGTACACAGTTAAGAAAAAATAATCTTAAAATTTTGAAATCTTAAACTTTTAAGAAGGAGAAGACAACCCCCCTCCAGAAAAGTGAACATAAGCAAACATGCTTTATAGAAGGCAGCTTTCTATACTCTGTGATGTCCTCCTCGATTTCTATTGCTTTTCCTTCAAAGTAATTTCATTTAAAATGCTTAGCCTTGGAGACAGAATATTTGGATTCCTGTTCTGATTTTTTTTTGAACAAGTGTTTAAAAAATAAAGCATTCTAATTTATTTTGTCAAGTCAGAGTGGGTACAGCAGGATCTGCTCCTGGGTTTCTACCATCCTTATATTAAAATCACACGCCAAAATTCTTTGGCTTAGCCTTATCTGTTAAAAACCCTTGCAAGAAATTATACTTTATATTCTTGTCCCACTGCTGTGAATGCTAACAGTATGGGTATAGCACAGCTCTTTTTATTTTTCTTTTTTTTTTTTTCCTGCCTTAGAGTCCACAGGCCAATAGCTGGAAGTAAGGAATTTATCTCACATTTTCATTTGGAGTCAACACTGGTGCCAGTTAATCTGAATAATTGAGGGTGATGAAACTGCAGGCTCCTGTAAATTTGTATATGAACACTAGATGATGCTATATAACTTTTCAATCTCCCATCACTTTCACATGTAACTGAAATAAAAATTATATAGAATCAGAAGACTGGACTAGAACATGTTTTTTGTATGCTGGCAAGTATGCGCATACACCAAATCATACCACTGAAGTAAAAAACCTATATTTCTCTCCCAGTCAGCTGTCTCCATCTCAAAGGACTGATGCAAAGAGAGGGTACATCTACTTTTAGGGCTACTTGTGCCAGACATTGTGGCAATGTGCTACAGAAGGATTTTAAACAAATGCTTAATAGCAATAATGCTTTCCAAATGCTTTGGCAAAAAAACCTCTTTGCCCAGCAGTTTTTATACAGAACCAGGTATCAACTCTTTGCTGCAGTCAGGATAATTCCTTAAACTGGCATAAACATCACATGCTGTACTTGGACAAAGTTAGTTTGGTTTTGGCCCAGATGAAACTTGTGCTACCAGGTAACGTGGTAGTGTACAAAAAAGGGCTTTGGCTCAGAGGAAAGGCTTTGAAGCCATTGTGGCTTCTGTCTTTCCTGTAAGAAACAGTTCCTCTGATCCCTATGACCCTCGTGTGTATAATGTCCTTATGACACAGTTCAAACACTAACCAAGTGACGAATCCATGTCTCAGGGTGGATGTAGTTACAGACACAAACAGGTCCCTGTCCAGACATGGTGAGCCTTGCATAATTTGCAGAAATATTGAATGTGAGAATCTCAAATGTTACTGTCTGGAAAGTGGATTAGCAGCTGCTCTTGCCCCGGAGAGGTTTTGATCTATGCTGTTTCCAGAACTCCTTGGTCGGGGCAGTGCCCATGCACTAATGTGCTCACCAGGCAGCCAGGGAAATAACTCTCTGTCGTGCTCATTCCACGCCAGTGGTGCAGGGCACCATTACCTCGAGGGCTTGAATCAGGCCATTTGAAAGGGTAGTTGATGACAGCACATGGGCTTGAGTTACACTTTAAATGTAATTGAAGAAATAGTTCGACCCTTTGTCAAAGCTTTGATAGTAATTACAAGATGCACACAGACTCCCAATGGCTCACAGAACATCCTGCAATGAGAGAGTGTCACCACAACAGTCACTGAAGAAGACATTTATTCTTTAAATAATACTCAGTAAGAGTTTCTGCTCACCAGGCAGCCAGGGAAATAACTCTGTGTCGTGCTCATTGCACACCAGTGGTGGAGGGCACCATTACCTCGAGGGCTTGAATCAGGCCATTTGAAAGGGTAGTTGATGACAACACATGGGCTTGAGTCACACTTTAAAAGTAATTGAAGAAATAGTTCAACCCTTTGCCCAGGCTCTGATAGTAATTACAAGAGGCACATAGACTCCCAATGGCTCACAGAACATCCTGCAATGAGAGAGTGTCACCACAACAGTCACTGAAGAAAACATTTATTCTTTAAAGAATGCACAGTGAGAGTTTTCTCATGTGTCTTTTTGTGGGCTTTAATGGCAGTGAAACCTACAGAACTAGAGTTTCTGGTATTCAAGCTATTAAAAGTATGGTAAACAAAGTGAAAGCTGAGTTTTTGCTTCAACTCAGTTAAGCATCTTTAAAATTAGGATGTATTAATGGAAAGTGCATGCAAATGAAAAGTGGGTAAAAACATTTTAGGATTTTTTTTCCTTAAAAGAAATTAAACCAGTCATATTTGAGAAAAAGGACTTAACTTCTCTGAGTTAGTCTGTTACTCATGTCTCATTCCAGAACTAGATCTGAAGGGTAGGTGAGGAAGACATGGCAGAAAATATTATCATGACTTTGGAGGACTGTAACTGGAAGTCATAAGGCATGTGGCCAGCATCAAGCAGGAGATGGGATGCACTGCCTGGCTCTGTGCCTGAGCATCAGCAGCTCCAGCTCAGAAGAGAGAGCCTTCCTTTCCAGTAACTACATATTTCCTTTTGAAGGAAAAGCTTCATTATAAAACTAGGAACATTTACTTTGCTGCATTAAATTATTTTTATTTTTCTTATATTTTTAAGTAATACAAAAATTTTGTAAATGCAAAGACAATTGATGTTTTAATAAAATCCATTACTACAATTCATTATTATTATTCACAGAAGTTCTCAGGTTATAGGAAGTATTTCAAGTGAAGAGAACATTGTTTTTCTCTAGTCATGGCAGAAACAATCAGTGATTTGAGAATATATGTTTACTTTATAGCAGTTGGCTTAGTAAAGCTTCTACATTAAATCTGTCAGTACTCAAATCAGAATGAAGAATCCTGTGCCAGCTTAGAGGAGACAATGACCAAAATGTCCAAGAAATCCTAATGTTAGGGATGGTCATTTTGACAAGAGTGTGATGTTAGCTATTAACCTTGATGGAGCCAAGATTTAGACCCAGAAGATTTAAATTAATATCTCTGTATAACAAAGAATTTTTGCTTTCTACACATGCTTCTTCTACAATTACAAGACAATTTGGATTGTGGGAAAAGCAGGTGGGTTTGAAAAGAGTGGATCAGAGCTCTTTTGAGCAACTATGACTACATGGCAAGATGAGTTTATGTGCCTTCTTTGGACTTCCTTCCTCAATAATGAATGAAACCTGGAGGGCATCCTCTCCTGTATATAGATCTCATTAATAACTTATTAACTTGGCCAAACAGAAACACTTGGATTTATTGCTGACTTTGTTGGGACAGATACCAAGTTAGCTTCACATTCACACTCAGAACAGGGGGAGCAGAAAGACTCATTTTGCAGCACTTTTTCAACACAAAGGCATTACCTTAAGCTTAAGGATCAATTATGCTTCAGTTATGGTCTTGTGCACCTCAGATCAATAAAGGATTATCTCAGATCTGTCCTGCAACATCCTGATTCTCTGTGGGCAGCAGCACCAGCTCTCTGGGGTTTACATATTGCTATGGCAATGTGACCCAGAGCCTTTTTGCAGGACTGCAGTGTCAGGACTGGGATTGTCCTTACTCCACAAAGCTTGATTGCTGTTTTGGGCGTAATGGAATTACACCAGGGTAGATGTGTTGCGCCAAAAAACATTTCTCTACAGGGACTCTAAACAAGGTCAGGCCATCACCGTCATGTCTCTGCCGTGCTTTCTGTGAGATGCAAGGAGTGCAGGAGAGGGTCAGGGTGGAGGAGCCCAGCATGCCCCTGGAACTTGCCCTGCAGGAATTGCCTCTGTCCATTCCGTGACGCTCTGACACTACAACACACCAATACTGATTTCTCAGGCTCCTCCTTGGAAATACTCCATCCTTGCCTCCCGCTCCTCTCCCTCCCCTGCACCATTCCCCGGAATGGAAGAGGGGCTGCTCGCTGGGGTGACGGCAGGTGAGGTCGCCATGGAAACGGGGCCTGCGGCCTCACTCGCGCAGCGAGCGGCTCCCCCGCCGCCCGCAGGGAGCACGGGAGCTCTTCTAGGTACAGCCAACCCAGCCACCGTCTGCCATTTAAAACCATCTAAAGCAACATCAGCGGACACCCGGCAGCAGATTTGGAGAAGATAATTTCCTCGCTTGCTCTTTAAATCAGAATCAAAATTCCGTCCCTGAGTCAAAAGCCTTGCAACAGAACTGCCATGTGTACTTCTCAATACACCTACAGAGCTTTTTCTGTGCACATGCACCAGCTGGAAAGCCTGATATCCTGATTTTGTTGTTTTGATGTGTGCCAGAGTCCTCTAATTTCTCTAAAAGTACTAGGGCATTATCTAAGAAGCTTGGATATGATCCAGGATGTAGATTACAGCATAACAGGCCTGATAAAAAGCCCAGCAAATTGTTGAACAAAGGATCTCATTCACTGTTGATTTATTAATAAGCATTTGCCTAAATACAGTGATTTTTTATGGATTTGCAAGTGTGAATTAGCAACTAAAATGTCCAGTCATCATACACAAAATCCAGTAAAACATAGAACACCCCCCCCCCCCCTTTTTTTTTTCAGGATTACTTATGTTGAGGTCTCACAGGTGTTTAGGACAAAAAAGGAACAGAGATAAATTTGACAGCATTTTCAAATGTTTCTAGTCCAAAAGTTACCTCTGAAAACTGCATTAAGCTTAGAAAGGGTATGTACAAAATCCACTGATCCTAAAATGCAGGTTATAGTGAAAAAATAGCAGAAAAACCAAAGACAAAGTAAAGAGAAATTATCCATAGGAAGAGGACAAAAAGGCAGAGAATAATTCAGGAGGTATCACAGGTGGAAAAGAAACTAATTACCCAACATCAGGTCTTGGAAAATCTAGGTGGAATTTTCATCTGGAAGCTTATGTATATGGTAATGTGATGCCGCCTGGAAGTCAGAGTAGGAAGATATAGTCCCAGCCTAAACAATTACACACATCCATAAGTTGTCAAAACAAGCATAACAAATTAACAGGGAGGAAATAAAAATTTAATTAACATTAAATGAGGAATAAATAAAAACAAAACACTCTCAAGCCTCTTAGTTAACAAAATGCAGACTGTTTGTTCACCTGTTTCCTCACATCTTCCTTGCCTTTCCAAGCTAAGGACCTAAGTCCCCTAGGATTCAAAGGGAATTGGGCATTCTAGTTCCTACAAATAAATGAAGAAAAATCAGCTACTGTGGAGACCCCTGAAAAGTACTGTGTTCTGTTGGTCACCAGATGTGTGAGACTAGGATGGCCCTGCTTCTCCCAAACTCTCTTTAGTCACAGAGGCAGGAGTCTGCAACCCCCCTGGGATGCTAGAACCACTGTTTTCACTTGCTTTAAGCTGGGGTGGAACACCATAGGGTAAGAAGCTCTGCAGTCTGCTCAGAAAAGTCACAATGAGGACCTTAAAGATTAAGATAGACAGTAAGACCTTCATACTGGTTGTGGGACACCTCTCAGTGTGATGCACAGGTTGTGGCACAGCCTCCCTTTGAGAAGGAAGCAGGCAGACCCCAGAGCACAGCCTGCTCATGATTAATTTCTTTCAAGACCAGTCTGAGATCTCTTATGTCTGTGACCACCTGCAATTGATTACCTGCAACAAAAATACTTTATATTTGAAATCTCTTCCTGGAAAAGCTGTTTGAACATACTGGTACTGTGTTAGTGTCCAAAGGAATATTGTTTACCTTCAGCAGCCAGTGAGCATGCTATACAAGATGCAATGAGACAGGGTATGAGACTGATTAATCCAGAGGAATTCCATATTTTGGCTTTCATTCCCGGAGTCTAAGCTATAAAATTTTCTCTACTGTTCCTCTACCATTAGCCTCATTAAATAATCAATGAGGTTTAGATACTAATGCAATATATAGACTATTCAGATATATGCATGTATGAGTGTCTGCTGTAATGTTATCCTCTGAAAAGAGTATGAGAAAGTAGAATGGCAGCAAACACGGCAATATAGAGATCTTTTTCAGTGTTTTAAATTCAAAATTGATACTATTTTTTAATCATTCTAGTAGCATAAAGTATAGAAATTCCAGAAGAGACAAGGAGAGATTGATAGAAATTTTTTTATCATTAGAAATGGTTGAGCAGAACTGGCCTGTTTCAGGGCATGTTCAGTTCTGCTACTATCTCTGAACAATAAGTACAATTGATTGCTGCAGGAAAAAAACCCCAGGATTATGAAACTTCCTGAAGCCTTTGGAAAGGCTGAATGAAATGTGGGATAGCAAAATTAGAACATAGCCTTTATTTTAAAATAATTTAGTTAGTAAAAGCAAGAGACCTAATTTCACCTAGTTTAATTCCTCATTGTTGGAACAAGATATGCCTCTAATTTTCATTACAATTTAAATTTTTTGTGCCTTCTCACAATCTTGTGAGTCTGAGAATCCAGTGAGGTGTTTGAATGCAAGGGTTAAACCAAGAGAGGTCTGACAGAGTGCATGAGATACAGACTTCCTGAACTGGGATACAGGTGATCCCTTACAGGTATGGTAGCTGAAGCTGCTTCCTTTACATAACAGTAAAAAAACAGTGAAAGGCAACATGACCTACTTCTCCCATGGGAATGACTTGCCAGGGAGGGTGCAGATGGCATTTCTGTACCTTTGGTGGGGCATCCTGTCCCCTTTGTAGGTAGGGTCTGCTAATGAACAGAAGGTGCAGCCTCAGTGTGCCATGCTATAGCTGTCTCTGGCTGAGAAGCAGCTGTTAAGGAGGAGGAAAAAGGAGGGAGAAATGGCAATCAGACCACCATGACTTTACATAATGATCTGGCTAAACAGGTATGCCAAACTGTGTCTTTTAACAAAATATTTGGTGCTGTTATTTCCATCCTACTGAGTTGTATGAATTTAAAATACTTGGGGTTTAACTTTGTTTTTTCAGCCAAGTATTATTTCTATCTAACATCAAGGTTTCTTCTTTTTGAAGTGTGATGGTTTGGTGCTGCACAATTTTGCTGTGCATCCTCTCAAAAGCTTATCCATTTACAAGTATATAAGAAAATAGAAAAGTTGTAATATATTCATTGTTTATTCTCAAATTTCCACTTGAGATGATTATTCAGTGTATTAGAAAATAGGTGAATTAAAGAATTAAAGTGTCAAACTTTTTTTTTTTTTTTTTATTGTATGGACAGAGAGAACGGGCCTTGGCCTGGGGTGTCCAGCACATCCTCCTGGGCAGGGAGATAAACTGCAGCCTCTGCCAGCTGGGGCAGTGCCAGTACCATGAATTAGCACAGCATGCTCCAGAAGCTTCTCTTTCTGAACAAGCATAACCCAGCATATTCCCAAGAGGGCAGAGGAGGTGAGTAAGCAAGTGCAGAAAGTACAGCAATTGTGAGCAACCCAGGCATTTTCCTGGAAAAGCATCCTCTCCAAGCCACTTCTGAAATCTGTTATTAAAGTATTCTCTACTGAAAGCTAGGAGGTCATACTTTGGTCACACTTTTAGGGTGTTATGTAAAGGGATTCTCTTCTTAACTTAGGAAAACAAACTTATATGACTTAAACTAAACTCTGCTTGGAGGAGAAATTCTTCCTCTCCTTTCTCGTCCTCTACTTTCATCTCTTGCTTAACTGCATACAATTTAATTCAGTTGTAGGCTGAACACAAAAATGTGTCTACATGAGCAAGCAATAATGGGGACTAGAAAACAAGGTATTCACAAATCTAATTTGAGTCAAAACAATTCTAGCTATTAAAGGCAAAAAAGTAATGAAAAAGTCATAGGTATGCTCTACCAGGGTGCAGCAGGTTGCTAATGCTCTGCACAAAAATAAATCTAAGGAGGAAGAATGAAATAGAAATGAAGAAAACAAAATAAGGTGGAAAAGAGAAAGGGGGTGAAGCTAGCATGATACTAACAGGATAAGAATTGTCATACAGAGCCAGATCAAAGGTTTTTTATCTTACTGATAGGTGTCCAGCTGTGGTCAATAGTAGATGTTGGAAGAGAATGCACAAACACATGCTCTCTCCCAGACCATCTCTCAGATCAAAAAAATAGTCAGAGAAAAGGTGGATTTTGAGCATGTTCACCGTCTTTTGTCTTCAACTAATTTTTCTTCTGTTGCTTTCTTCAATCACTTTTTAAACTCATCTAGACCCTTATATTCACAACATTCTGTGTGTCAGGGAGTTGAATAGCTTAACCACAAGGACTGTTTTCTAGGTTTTTGGAATGCATCACCTGCTTGTTTCTTTCCTTCACGTTTGCATCTCTGCACCATTTGTGTGGGAAGATACTGTGAGTGACAGTGAACCTTTTACACTTGCTTATCTTCCTTACTAAAGATCCTAGGGACTTGCATCACGTTTGCCCTCAGTCACCCTGTCTACAGTCTAAAGACTCCTCTCATACCTCATCATTCCTTGAGCAGAGACACTTCAGGCCCTGGCCACCCTCCTCTGAACCTTACTCCTTTTTACCATGTCTGGTTTGAGATGGGGAACCAGAACAGCTCTCGGTAATCAAAATCGCTCTGCACCATGGAATTACGCAGGATCATTAATTGTATTTTCTGGTTTGTTCTCTACTTCTCACTAAATAATTTCTGATATTCAATTTCTGTTGTTTTCCCTGACATTTGAGCCAGTGTATTTGTACAACTGTTCTGCACCGTGTCAGTGTTTCATTTCTGAATGACAATAGTCAGCTGAAATCCTCTTGTTTTCTGTGTGAAGTTAAGACCTTTCTTTCTGTACTATTTCAATCCACAGGTTTTTAGAGACTCTACAACAAGATCTGCTCATAAATGGAATTTTTACTGTATTAATTTGTATATATGGGTCTCTTCATACTGCACTTACTCAAGGGTAGATACATTATTGTATCTATTATATCATGATCTGTTAGTAATAGAAAATGCCCAGAGAGATCTGGGAAAAAATTTCCTAGTGGAAAATACATCTTGTATTAGAAAAAGAATACTTTAATTTGTATTGATTTTATCCATTTCCCCCAGAAAAGTAAATTATATGAGTAGAATATTTTTGTGCCCATGTCAATTTTTATAACTCTGTCAGCACTGATGTTTAGACAGAATGGAAATTTTGAGAATTAAGTCAACCATACAAAACCACACTGAGAAATTGGCAATTTTTACCACCATAAGATTGATCTTTACTATCAGACATATGGTCTGACAATGTAGGTGAAGATAATCTGATGACCTGGTTTTCATTTGGACACTACTATGAGAAAATAAGAATCTGTACCTTTCCAAAAGTGTGATCAAACTTGTTGTAGGTGGTATGAGATGCCATCACATTGCATAATTGTTTTTTGTTAAAAGTTCATCCAGGCAACTCACCCACCCAGGGAGCAGAAAGGATGGTAAATAATGTCCAGTGCTTAAAAGTAGGGACTGTTGTGCTTGTTCTTCTGAATCATATTGTGTCAATGAAATGTTATGTTGTGTGATGCTGTCCTTGATACTTCTATTCTGTATATTCACTGAGATCAGGATGTTCTAGCAGAATCTATCTAGTGCTTCTTTCATAGGAAATTTTCTCAACTCCTACTCCAGAAATATTTTTTATTTTCACTTCTCATGTTTCCATCCAATTATTCTCTTTACTTAGTATGAGTGCAGTTGTTTTTTTATGAGTTTCAAATGCCTAAAAAATCATTAAATATTAATAATTTTAAAAGTATCTTTTCATCGCCCCAGTGATTTTCTTATTCAGCATCAACGTTCCATTTCCTATTTTCTGATTGCCCTCAACTCATCACATCTATATATATCCTGTTCATGCAGTCCCAGGGCTCAAGTCTGGAGGACATGCACCTGCATGGGGGGAGTACCTTTCTGCACGCCAGACATGCTGGTTTAGATGAGCTGAGTCCTGCTTGGCATATCAGGAGAGGTGGAGAGGACTGTCAGGAGAGGGGGAGCTGGAAAGGGGGCAGCCTGTCTCTCCTGAGCTTGCCGTCGCCAAGGACCGCACAAGAACCTCAGAGATAAGTATATATCTACACGCAATGTACAAACCTATGCGCGTTTGTATATTTTGTAGGCGTGCTGGTGCATGTGTATGCACGCACATTAGTGTACAAATGTAAGGCCAGTGTATATGTGTACATACAGTTTATATATAGACATATGCACGCATGTATATGCTAGTATACCTAAGGGGCACGAAAGCATTGCTTAATTAACCTTCGGGAGGAGTTTCCAGCGCGGAAACCCAGTCTCCCCACGGCTGGAGGGAAGTGTCCGCCGCCCCTCCTGCCGTGAAGGCGCTGCCGGGGTTGAGGCAGAGCCCAGGAGCTCTCCCGAACCTGTCAGCTGCTGCAGCAGGAGAGAGAGGAACCCCAAAAGGAGCGGTGCTCCCCCTGAGGCTGTTCTTGCTGGGTGTTCGGACAGACACAGGTGGGTCCGGGACACTCCCACACACAGCCATCACATGGCGAGGGTCCCTCCTCGGAGGGGGGGGAGGGAAAGCAAGCCTTTCCCTGTTTTTCTTTGTTTGTAATTGGGAAACACTTCAAGCGCAAAGTCCTAAGAGCCTCCTGAGGTGCTTCAGAACAAAGGTAAATTCACCTCACGATAGAACAGAGAGGTAAAACACATCTGCCCGCGACACGAGTAAATAAAGGGTCAGTGACCCGTTGGTCCCCGTGTTGAGGCGCGTAAATAACGCCATGGAATGGTCTCCAGCAGCCCAGAGACGGGGCTGCCTTTGTCCCTGCCCCTCCGGCGGCAGCGGGCTCTTGCCGAAGGGGCGCAGGCGAGGACGGTGAACAAAGGGAAGAAAGCTCTGTCACCGCAGCCCTGCCCGCACAGAAGGTGCCCGGCACCCCTGCCCGGCCCGAGCAGGCTCCCCTGACGGGGACGCTAAATAATGGATCATCATCGATCGCATTGGGAAGCGAAAGCGGGCGCATCTCTTGCTTGCAGCCTGCTCCTTCCCCCACTTGCGCTGTAATCCTATTCCACCATGTGCAGATAGATGAAGGGACGTAATTCAGCCTTCAGGCCTGGGCGGGGTTCTCGCCGTTTAATCTTTTCCTTTCTCTTCCCTTCGCTGCTTTCTTCCCTTCCCCCCTCCCGCCCCCCCACCCCTTCCGTCTCCCAGGCCCGGTGAGGTCAGCTCATGAATATTGCTTCATTTTCCTGAGAGGCTCCGGCAGCGGCGGGTACCTCGTGTGCGGTGCCCGGCTCTCCGTGCATGCATTTCGCCAGCCGGGCAGCGGCCAAAGTGGTGGTGAGTAATGCAGATGCTTTAGATCCAAGCCTTTTTTTTTTTCTCTTCTACTTTTTTTTTTTTTCCTTCTCCCCAAAAAGGAAATATTATTCCTAATGAAGATGTTAAAAACCCGCCAGGTATGGGGGGGAGTACCTTCACAAATCGCGTCCGCACCTTTAAACCAGGACAAAAGGCAGAAGCACTCCCAAATCTTAAGCCGCGTTTGCGAATTCTCGGCGGGGCAGAGGCGGATGCCGGTAGGACGAAAGGGCCAGGGGGATGCCCCGCCCGAAGTTCGGGGCACGGGAGAGTCCCGCGCTGGCCCGTGGAGCCACCGGACTGCTCCCTTTTGTTGCTTCCATTTATTTACCCCTTATTCCGCCTGGACAGCTGTTCCCGACAGGAAAACCTGCGGAGACGCCGCGTCCCGGCGCCACGTGGGTTTGTCTCTGGGGAGAAGGTCGAGCTGTAGAGTTTTGTAAGGACAGAGATTTTGGACTTGGTCTCAAACGGGGCTTTCGTTGTGCCAGTTAAAAATGTAGAAAATTACATATATATATATATATATATGTATATATGATTAGCCAACTTAACCCCAGGCGGTAGCGGATCTTGGATTTTGGGGCATGCAGGGTAAGGGGTTGTGTTCTGGCAGGTCGCGGTTGAGTCTGATGTCTTAGTTGCAGTAAAAGTTCCCTAAAAGATTCAGGTGCAACATAGGGTTCTTGATGATTAATTACATTTCTTGTATTTCATACCTGTATAGCTCCAAACAATGGTAGGGTGGGAATTCTGTTTGTGATGGCTAATAGAAATGCAAGAAAATCTTTTATAAAGTGTTGTCATACAAATTTTATAGCTCTATACGCTTTTTTTAAAACTAATTAATGCTTGGGAAGTGTCTGCCAAATTGTGTCATTCTGAGCATTAATTTCCAGAATATTGCTTTAAATCAGGTTATTAATGACAGTGCATCTGAGAGGAAATGATGTCCTCCTGCCAGTGACAGCAGAGCAAACACAGCCTCATTGTCTAGTATGTTCGAGGGAGTAAACCAATTGTCAGAGCACAGTATAGTCTCTACATTGATTTTGCCCAGTCGTGCTTCTTTCTTTATTCCCTGTTCTAGCAGGGAATGGTTAAGCCGTGTTCTAGGAGGGAATGGGCAGGCCATGTTAGGAATGCTGTCATTTCTGCTGTTGCCCATGTTTTCTCCCTAAGGAGAGTTGAATAAAGGCTGTGTGAAAACAGTTTGTGGATCATAGCCATTATTTTCAGAATATATTGGGGACATTAGCAGCATGATATGGCTTTTAACAGCCCTTTTTCATAATCGTTTGTTGTCATGAAAACTCTGGTTGTGTCATTATAGCGGCAAATTGCCAAGTGAGCATCCTTCAGAGAATGCCACATAACATTTTGTTCTGGGTGAGGGTGTATTCCTTGCTTCCTCTGTTTTGAAAATCTGCTGGAGTGATTGTGTCTGAGTCCTGTATAACCTATTGATATGCATAACTGGTAACAAAAATGAATCGGTCTTAAGTCCTGACAGCACCTCTGCATAACAAACTGGGGCAAATATGTGTTCAGAAGCTGACTGCGAAACCCCTTCCCTTTATGACCCTAGATTCCCGAGTCACCTTGCCCCGGAAGAGTCGCTGTCAAAGCTGAAGGGAAATCTGTAGTTGCTTCCACGTGTGCAGCCTTTGTACAGTAGCTTTCCCCCACTGGGCTGTGACAGACACTGGGACGAGGCCTTTCAGCAGGCAGACAGGTGCATTAGCAACCCAGGCTTGGTGGTGAGGACAAGGGAGAGGGAAGTTTGTGTGTGGGAGGAAATTCATCCCTGGTGTGGCAGTCCGGTGGGGGAAGTTCGGCACTGGGGCAGGGGACACGCCCCTAGGTGCAGGCGGAGTGGGAACAGGTCTCAGCCTCAGCCGAGCCCTTCGGGCCCTTCCATGAGCCGCTCCGCTCGGCTCTGGGCTGCGGCCTCGGCCGGATTCTCCCCGGCCTCTCCGGGGCACCGCTCTGCCCGCAGGTGGGCGCGGGGCAGGGCTGGGGGCCGGCGGGGAGCGGGCAGGCTGGCCGCCGCCTTGGCCAGAAAGCCCGTCTCCCCGTCCTCCCCGTCCCCACCCCGACCGCTTCTCCGCTTCTCCTCCCCCAGCTCTCGGGGCGGCGGCGGCGGAGGAGGCGGAGGACACCGCCGGTGATGGACGCGTCCCCGAGATAGCCGCCGCCATGAGCCAGCCGCCTGCAGGGGGCGCGGCCGCCGAGCCGCGCCTGCATCCCGAGGGCAGCAGCGGCAGGAAGCAGCCGCGGGCATCCTCGCCGGCCCGGGCCCGCGACGCCGC